GTAAAAAACTAAAGCACAATTGCAATTTTTTTTTTTACATTTTTAAAAAAAACAGGTTCTAAACTATCTAACCATATATGTATTTACAGTGTAATTACACACAAACAGATTTTTAATAAATCCTTTTGCTCGCTTATCATTGTTAAAAATGATTGGCAGCCGGTGACTTTTGTCAGGGGAGTGTACACTGTATATTAATAATTAAATAATTTTTTAAAAATTTTTTTTTAAGAATAATAATAATAATATCCTCTAAATCAATATAAAAAAAAGAAAAAAAAAATTAAACACTAACTAAATTTAATACAAATTACTAATTTTGAAACTTTTGCATTGTCAAAGCTTATCCGTAATAACCAAGTCAAACCTCAACTGTTGTCATTACGATTAATGAATAATGTATTTAATCGTACAAAATTGATAAAATCGTAAAATCATAATTCCATTACATTACATCTGTAGGTTTATGTATAAGTTTTTTCGTGATTGAAAGCTGAAATAAAAATTATATAATGTACAAAAAAAGAAATAGAATGTATATATAAATTGATACTAAGCTAAACGAAGATCGCACATCTATCAACTATGGTAATTTTAATAAAAATACAAAAATACTATTTGAAACACATTAAAAGCTTAAAATAGACACAGAGAAAGAAAACTGCAAATTTTTCTTTTTTTTTTAAAAAAAAAAAAGATTCTTAAACAGAAAATTTTATGTATTGTAAGATTATAAAATAAATTAGAATACCCAAATGTTTTACCGCCCACGACTTATTAAAAGAATTCCCTTTATCCATCATGATCCTGTCATGCTAGTACATTCTTAACTGATATTGATATGGAACGACCTATGTTCGATGAAGACTTTTTTTCTGAAGCGTTGCCGTTTACTACACCACCAGTACTTGTTGTGGATAATGAAGAATTTGTAACGCTTGGAGTTCCTCTAGCAAGTACTTTTGGTGTGATATATCTTATCGCTGCGATGTTTCCACTTGATTGCACTACATCCAGAATGGTTTTTCCTGATTTCTTCATATCATTAACAACTTCTGTTGCCCATGTCCCAACACTCTTTGCTGAACTTCGTATGATAGGCTGGGATGCTACACCAAGCATATCTTCGAGATTGTCAAATAAGACTTTCTCAACTTGAGCTCCATTTTGTAATAATAACTCAGCCATAGGAAATAGGGTCTTCCCTTCTTCTGTTATTATTTTCGAAGGTTCAATATGGAGCAACGACAATAATAATGGTGTTTTCAATCCGTGATCTTCCTGCACTTCGAACCGACGTGCAGTATTCACATCAGCTTTTAATGCAATGGCTTGCATTGCTAAAGGTATATCATTTACTTTCACAGCCTGGAAAAGAAGATCCGTCGCCGTTTTATCCTCGTCAACAAGTGAAAAATCTACAAATGCCCGATCGACATATTTGGCTGTAATAAATTTTTGTTTAAATTCGCGAGTATCGGTGCTTGTTGGTTTACGCATAGTTTGAGGTTTTTTTAGAGTCGGTGATAATGTAGATGATGATGCAGATGATGATGGAGATGGAACACGGTTTGAAGATGGTGATATCATATTGATGAGGTCTTCCCAATCGGAATCTGCAGCTGTCTCGGGAATATACTCAAATTTTGGTGGAACTGGTGGCGGAGAATCATGCTTTGAAGGTGGTATAGGCGAGTTATCCGTAAGTTGATCTTTTTTTGAAAGCGTAGCTTCCCAAATAGCATTTGAATGTGCATTTCCGATCGATTTAATTAATTGAACAAGATCAGGTGTATAAGAAGTTGTGTCTAAAGTAAGCGACCTTATTTTTGAAATATGTGTGCCCAAACTACGATGGATTCCAGAACACTCTGAAATAAACAATTTACATTTTTAAATTAAATGATTCAATAAGAGATAAATCAATATCAACTACCGTTTGCAAGATAAATTAATATTTACCTATGCATAAAACAATTCCCAAATTTATTGAGCACCATTCTGTCTTACGAGCTCCACAGTCTGCACAAGAATTATTTGATATATCTGCACCTTTGATAGATTCAAGAATTCTTAAAGAGTTTGCATTGTCTTCTATTTCCTGACGGTTTCGAACCTTAGATTGCATTTTTATAATTGGCTCTTCGGATAACATTGGCGTGCCCTTTTTCATATCATATTTTCTTCTTTCAGATAAACTTGGTAATGTTCCCCTTCTTTGGATAGCTTTTCTGGTAAACAACGTTCCAGCACCTGTACTATCAACGTCTTGTGTCAAAACCTGATCCAAGTTACGACAGCTGCTAGTCCCATTAAGAATACTCTCAATAGCATTAGAAATTACCGCTATCCACGAATTCATGTCTTCAGCTGAAACCGCTTGATAAATACGTCGATATTGAGGTGTTATAACCTCAAAACAAAAACGACGATCGGCACCTCTTGCCTCTCTTACGGTCGCGAATCGTAAGTTTATTGGCTCGTTGTGTGTTTCAAGTTGTTTTTTCCAATTGCTATACTCGCAAAGTTGACCTCCCGCCAAGACGCACCAATATCTTAAAGTAAAAAAAAATATATATTTTTTATGATTACCGTATACAAAATAAACAATAATTTTGGAGACGATTTATCTATCGGATAACTTACTTATGCCAATTATTTTTTGCGATCGGATCAACAGTTCCATGTTGCGTTGCTCGTGATGTAGCAAACAAAAATCCTTCTTTCCTCCTTCCAGCAATTGATGCAGATTCAGTGCCTTGTTGCTCCAAATCACGGATTCCTTTGAATTTATTTTGTACCGTATTATGTGATCCATTATGAGTCGTTTGATTTTCTGCATTGTCGATCGTATTATCCGTAGAAACACTTCCATTACAATTATTTGAATTCTCTCCTTCATTAAAAGACTCATTTGTGAACGGGCTCCCAGTTATTGCCCGAGTCTCCAATGCTCTACGCCTTTCTTCTCTCTCTTTCCTCATTAGATGAATTTCCTTTGTTGCCTCAGCAACATCAACCGCTAGTTTATCTAAACCTGGTTTCAAATTTTGTATACTCATGGCAGTTTGTTGATAAAATACAAATTGTTTTTCGGCAAAATTTGTCAAATGATACAAAATTTCCTGGTCTTTCCTTCCTCCATGTAAGTCTTGCATATATGCATAATAATCGAATCGCTTCAATTCAAAAGTTTTTCGTTTGTTTTGATACTTTGAATCAGTCTCAAGTTTCTTTTTCTCTTTAGCGGAATCAACTTTCATGGACAAATACTTAGATAAAAACTGATAATAATCACGAGATTCATCCTCGAATTCTTTCTTTTTGCTATCAGCTACTTTGATATCATTTTCATACATTTTTCGTAGAGGTTCGATAAGAAGGATAGACATTTGATTTGCAAGGCTTTCTCTGAAAGTCGCAATTTTTTTAGCAGCATCTTCTAAATAGCTATCTAAAACTGGTTGAAATGCTTGAGGATGCGCAGTTGCAGCTGCTCTTAAGGCTGCCATGAGTTCTTCATCTGCATCATGACTGTCCAGCATGGCTTCATGAGCTGCAGATGCTGTCTTAAGTATACGTTTTATATATTGTCTTAATGAACCTGTTTTCTTTTCATATGATGAAAGGGTGGCACGAAATAACGGACCATCCTCGGGTTCATGTTGAAACATTAAGTCATCAGATGAACGTCTGCCTCCACTTGAAATTGAGGAAGCGGTCCCAGATGTGTGTGATGACATGCCCGGGACTGGAAGATATACCGTATCTGGACTTGATGGACGAACGCTGCGTGGAAGATTGAGAGACCATGGAGTAGATGTAGAAGATGGAAGTAGTGATGATGTTCCTGTAAGAAATGACATTCCGTCGAGGGATCCTGTGCTTTTTGACGCTCGATGATGGTAACTTCGTGGGCTATCTGAATATTTATTAACATAATGACTATCAAAAGATTTTAAAGCAAAAGAAAATAAATAATAATAAAAATATTTAACACACCAGCGACCCAAAATGTGAAGGCTGCCAATAATTGGAAAGTATTATCTTTCGCATCGTATTCGGCAAACTGAACAAGGATAAGTGAGTCGTGAAATTTAAAAAACATAATAAAAATAGACTAAAATACCAAAACTCACACAGCAATAGTTTCGCCACCCTCGATGAACCTCGTCCATGTTATGTGGAGCTGACCACATCCAGGACCATTCCATTTCTAAAGGTTTTATTCCATTCGATTCATAATTTCCAACTAACGTTACTTTTGGATGTTTATGCAACTAGTATATGTGTATGAATATAAAATTGAAATAAGATTAATGCAATTGATCTTTGAATAGTAGTTTGATATAGTTTGATCGAATATCATTATAAAAATTATGGTTTTTTAATTGGCATAACTATACTTTAACTTATAACACCAATGCCATTAATTCGTTAATATTATCTGAAACAGCGTCCGGTGGACTATTCCTTATTAAACTAAAATGTACGTACCATACAACATTCAAAAAAAATTTCTTAATTACTTACGTTGGGGTCATCGTTGAATTCAACAGTTACTATTCTTTCTAGTTCTTTTTCACTAGCAACATTGATGAATGTAAGTCCTTTAACATAAGTTTTATTTCCATCTGCTTCTCCTATGTTGAATTTAAACTTTAACTCCAAACATTTGTCTTTAGCTAATTTAAGCAGAAACTTATTTGGAGATATTGATTTGACGTTAGGGTCTTGAGTAAATTCCAGCAGATCTATAGAGTTTGGAATAGCGGCAATACCAGCCGACGTGACAGGAAACGTTATGTAGGGGTCGTAGACGGAATTTGATATCGAAATTTCCGTGATTTGAACTAAAGAAATAAAAAAAATAAATAAAATAAGTTAAAATATGAAAATGTAATGCTTGCGCATTTCATGAAAGCTGTAAATTGAATAATTACATCGACTAGGATTTCTTATGTATAAAGTTGGATGTTCGTCCAAAGACGAACTTACGCTACCCATGATAGAAGGTGAAGAAATGAGGCTGTCTTTTTGGTCGCCCGATTTCCACGAAATATTAGTTAGGTTTCAAATGAAACTAAGGAAAAGGTTAGCAAGAAAACCGTGGCGAGAGCATATATTAGAAAATTCAATGAACATTCGATTTCTAAACTGGAATTGGTCATAATTAACTCATGATCACGTTTAACTGCACTTACGTCAACTGTAGTACCAGAATACGATAACGATAACGTACGTACGTACGCACGCACGCACGTACGTATCTGGTATTTTTACTCCACGTATCGGTGTCTCGTCCAGACAAGACTAAACTCGCAATGGCTTCTAGTTCATCTTCGGATCCTGATAGACGCGCAAAGGCTTTACAAGACTATCGCAAGAAGCTGTTAGAGCATCGTGAATTCGAAGCAAAGCTTAAAGAGAGTGAGTAAACTAATGCGAATTAAATTCTTGGATCTATATTAAGATATTGAAAATTCCATAGAACTAATGTCGTTAGTAAATTTGCGCATTTTGCATTTATTCTGACTCAAAGCATTTTCGATTGCGTGTTGGATGTATACGTCTCTAGCTTTCAATATATGCGTTGACAAATGTGTCCGAATTATTCAGCATTTATTACTTCAGAGTATAATGATGGAAATGTTATTTATTTTACTATGTAGTTCGCCTTGAGCTTCGTGATCTTGAAAAGGTATACGATAAGACTGAAGAAGACATTAAAGCACTTCAAAGCGTTGGTCAGATTATAGGCGAAGTTCTGAAACAATTAGATGAAGAGCGATGTAAGTGATCCATAATAATAAAAATCGACACCAATCGATAATTAATAGTGAATTATTTTATCCGAATTTGATTGCTATTCTCAGTCATCGTAAAAGCCTCATCCGGTCCACGATATGTGGTTGGATGTCGCAACAAAGTAAATAAAGAGAAGCTTAAACAAGGAACACGCGTTGCTTTAGATATGACAACTTTAACTATCATGCGCATGTTGCCCAGAGAGGTTGATCCATTGGTATATAATATGAGCTTAGAAGATCCTGGAAAAATAAATTTTGCTGGTATCGGAGGGTTAAGCGAGCAAATCAGAGAACTTCGTGAAGTACGGAGTCCCGTTTTTTTGATCTGACATCCTACAAACTTACAAACTATCATATAAATTAAATAAATTGACATTCCAGAAATATTCGAACTATTCTAATCATTATGTAGGTTATAGAATTACCACTCATGAACCCGGAACTCTTCCTTCGCGTGGGTATCAAACCGCCAAAAGGCGTCCTTTTATATGGTCCACCAGGTACTGGCAAAACTCTTTTAGCTCGTGCGGTTGCTAGTACTCTTGAAACGAATTTCTTGAAAGTTGTTTCAAGCGCTATCGTTGACAAATACATCGGAGAGAGCGCAAGGCTGATCAGAGAAATGTTTGGATATGCTAAGGATCATGAACCATGCATCATATTCATGGACGAAATTGATGCAATTGGTGGGAGACGGTTTTCCGAAGGTACAAGTGCCGATCGTGAGATTCAGAGAACTCTCATGGAGGTAAACAAGGATATCATCTAAATTTTTAATTTACATCATTTATATTTAGTTACTATACATATTTTTTTTTATTTGACCATAATATAGCTTCTTAATCAAATGGACGGTTTCGACTACCTGGGACAAACAAAATTAATAATGGCCACCAATAGGCCTGATACTTTAGATCCAGCATTATTGAGACCTGGAAGATTAGATCGTAAAATAGAAATTCCGTTACCTAATGAACAAGGACGTCTTGAGATTTTAAAAATTCATTCGGGACCCATTACTAAACATGGTGAAATTGGTAATTTTTTCATCTTATTTATCATCCCATGCGGGAAATCAATATAATTTATATATATATTTACCATACTTTATAATCTTTAGATTATGAAGCCATTGTGAAATTATCTGATGGATTTAATGGAGCTGATTTGCGTAATGTGTGTACAGAAGCAGGTTCGCACAATTATTTCTACAATTATTAATTTCTCAAATGATATCGATTAAAATGAAATTGGTGTCTCCTTTTAATTTCTAAAACCTCCTACTTATACTCTTATTAACAAACCCAAAAAAAAAAAAATGCCCAAAAAATTTTATTACGACGCGTTATTTTTATATCAAAACTATTCAAATTTTCATTTTAATCTGATTTCGTTTTTATCCGTCACAATTAATGATTATTAATATTTTATAATAACATAAATAAACTGTCTATATTTTCAGGTATGTTTGCCATTCGTGAAGAGCGAGATTACGTTGTGCAGGAAGATTTTATGAAAGCTGTTAGAAAAGTTTCTGATGCCAAAAAATTAGAATCTAAATTGGATTATGAAAAATTATAATTTTAGAATTGAATTTAAATTTGTTGAATTTAACCTTTGAACATTTGTTTAGAATGCACTTATTTACATAAAACTCGCTAATAATGGACTAAAATTTACAATTATACTAAAGATAAAGTTGACATAACTTAAAAAATATTTGGATCAATGTAATTGATTATCATGTGAGGTGGTACATAACAAAAGCTTTTAAATTAATATGTTCTCTCACACGAAATAAATTCAATAATCAAAAGTCTAAACAATATTTTCAGACAAATCTATAAAAAAAGAGTGTCAATTTTTCCTTTTTATTTTATTTATTTATTTACTTATTATTAATTTTAATTTTTTTTTTCCTTTTTTAAAAAAAAAAATCTGACAATTCACGTAATGATTGTTTTATTTCCAACAATATTATTGGAAAAAAACAACGTATAAAGTGTAAATAAAAACAGAAAATGAACTAATAGCAAAACAAGGTCCCTGTAAAGCATGTGTGGCTTCCCTGTTTAAAAAAAGGAATAAAGTTAATAATTCTTAAAAAAATATCGAACAAACTTTACCCATTTTTAAATAGTGTGAATTCGTCGTCTTTTTGATTTATATCTATTTAATGCTTCTTCATCTAAACCTTCACTTTTTTGCTCGACGATTCAACATTTGAAACCTTTAAAATCAATAGCTATTGTCAAATTACAGAATTTTTATGCGGAAAGACTTTTATGTACTTACGTTAGTACCAAATTTTTCGGCTCTTCTTTTCTTTTTCTCCTCTTCAGATAATGAAGATGATGTAGTATTGGTTACATTGGAACTGCCAGTTGATACCGGTGACGGTGTAGTCTTACAAAATATAATTAAATAATATGCATGAAAACTTCGTCATTTCTGATTAAATAATTCTCTTAACTAAATGTTCCTAACTCACCACCAGGCCAAATTTTTCAGCTCTCATCTTTTTTTTCTCTTCTTCACTTAACGAACTTGATGTAGCCGTTATATTAGGTGTTTCATTTTTAGTCTTATCAAGACCAAATTTTTCTGCCCGCTTTCTCAGTTTTTCATCATTATCAACTGAAGTAGTAGACTAATAACAATAATAAGGTTACATACAAATTCCAAGTTTGGAAATATCAAAAATTGATAGACAGAAAATGCTTACTAATTTTCGGGAAGGAAAAGGTAAAGGTGCTATACAAAAAATCCAGAAACTTTATTTAGAATGATGTAGTATTTGAATATTCAATCACCACTTTTATTTATCCGATGTTAATTACCTTTAAGAGGAGAGTCAATAGGACTAGTAACTTCAACGCCAAATCTTGCAGCCCGTTGAAGTTTTTTATCCGCTTCTGATAATTGAGTTCCAAAGCGCTCTGCGCGTTTCTTTCGCCTTTCAATTTCAGCATTTAAATCCGATTGACTTTTACTGATCGGTGATGTCGGTTCGTCAAATACAATCTTTTTGCATGTGAATCCTGACGGTTTTACGAGAACATCAGGCTTAGAAGATTCTGAGTTTGTATCATTTTTAACTGAAGTTTCTTTGACATCGTCCGATTTTATTGTTTGAGATTGACCATCTTTGGATGCATCGGATTTTACTTTATCTTGTGTACTATCTTTATTAGAAGTGATAGAATGTGAAGGAGAAGTAGGAGAAATAAGCGAATCAAAAGTATTATCTTTGGATAAAGCATCAATATCACTGGAAAAAAGTAGTAAAATATTAGTTTTGTATTCCATTTGTTGACCATTATAAAGAATACTTTGAGTCCAACTTACTCGGTAGTGAATTTTTCCCAATCAAAGTTATCAAGCCCTGATGTAAGGTCATTTGGCGAGTTTAACAGATCTTTGTCGAATAAATCAGTTACTTCATTCTTTGAATCGGTGGTGAGTACCGTATCGTTGTTAATGACATTATTAATATCCATATTATTGGTTTGTTTTAAAGCCTCCTCTGATTTTTTACCCTCAGCCGTCAAAATTCTGGTTATCAACTCCTCCTTTCTACCAGAAACTGGTAAGTTTCTCTCAACTAATAGTTCTTTTAGTGCAGGTATTTTAAATTGCCGAAGTTGCTCTTCTGTAAACATTTTGAATTTCTTTTTCCTAACGCTAATACAAGAAAGAGCTTATAATTTTGTAAACATCCAATTAGATATAATTTAAGGCCAACACGTGTAATTGCGTATTATCACATGAATTTAAACGATTATTGTGACTAATAATCGGCCATATGAGCTCATCATTTTTCAAACACTGCACTGAACAAAACCAGGAAGTCTAAAGATAGATTATTATAAAATAAATATGATTCTATATTTAGACTTTCTGGTTTTCGTTTGGCGACACTCGAATATCTATTTTACGCGTATCTTTTAATAAGCACAATTTTTTTAGATCCATAATGAATGATATTGTTAGGTTTGTAAGTACAGTATTCAATTTCAAAGAACATTCATTATATCTATAAAATTTCAATAGTTTTTCGAAATCAGTGAGCACCTTTAATTAAATGATTAGTTAGCATAATTAAATTACATAGTGCGGATCATATATAGAACTGCTTAAGCCGAGTCGCGAGCCATACGGCTAAGCCGAGCCATTACAGTTATTCTCAAATTTTGGGACATCTACGTAGCCTTGCTTAAATTACTTTACAAATAGAGAATTTAGAGATGTATATATCACGTCAAATAGTTTTTACTTAATAACAAAATATATAGAGAATATTTTATCATAATATTTTTATTGGCATATCGAAAAAAAAAATTAAAAACTTGAATCTTTGCTTTGTTTTAGTACTTTTACTGTATCTTCTAAATAAATAAATTTTGTTACATATAATTTATATTATTATTATAATTTTAGATAATTTTAAGCCTCTTTAGCTTATTTGTAATTTAAATTTACCAGTATTTAATATTTTTTTTTTTAATATAAGTTATATTTAAAATAAAAATTTGTTTATTTTATAGATATATACAAGTCGTAGGTGGGAACAAAATTTAAGTTGATTTGGAATTTTTAAGGTTAGGGTTGGGATTTTTAGTATATTATTCCGTTCTAAGCTAAGTAAATTCCGAACCTATTATGATTCCATTTCAGCATTTAGAGGTCGGATCCATAAATATTCATGGCTAGAAATAGATATTCATTGAATATTCAATATTTGGATAGTCAAGGGTTTGTCGAATATTTACTGAATAGCCATGATGGATCCAACCTCTAATTTCATTCCATATATGCTGCATTTAGTATATCAAAAAAAAAATAATACAGTATATTTTGTTCATATTATATATTTATAGTTTTTTATAAAATTTAAACTTATAATGATCTTAATACAGTATACTATTAGTTTTATTCTAAAATTTTAAAGATTATTTTTTAAAAAACATAGTACCGTACCGCACTGCCTTTAGTACCCGGGTCTTATCAAAAATAAAGGGTATTGTACATGGCAATATATCCATGGGTACTTAACCAAGAGTGGGTGTTATGCTTGGGGTATTGTGACTTGGGGGTATTATGCTCAGGGAGTTTAATACATATTAATTAGAAATCACTATAAATATAATAATGACAATATTTTATATATAATAATATTAAAATTTATCAATTATAACTTGATTTGCAAACTAATAAATAAGAATATAAATAATTGCAATTTAATACAGTATAAGCAATGTAATAATAAAAAATGTTTAGGAAAGTATTATTTATCATTTGATTTTTTGTAAATACAGTCGTCCCTCCATATAGTCACCTCCCATATAATCACATCATATGTAATCACATTTTTATTTAGGCCAAACTCTAATTTAATTTATAAGAAAAAAACCTCCATATAAGCACAACCTCTCTATAAGCACATTTTTAAAAAAGCTACTATGTGCCCAACTGTGTGATTGTATGGGAGGATGACTGTAGTAAAATTTTCTCTCTCTCTCAAATGATTATGATTCATAAAACATATATATATGTGATCTATTAGCATAATATTTTGGCAGCTAAAAAAATCAAATGATAAATAACACTTTTCTTATAATACTTGCTCAGTCAAATATATGATGAAATTATTAAAAAATATTATTAAGCTTTGTTATTAAATTAATTTATCAAATCTTATTACCTTGGATTTTAATATCCAGGTTTTATTCAATTTTTTTGAGATTTTTTTGTAAATTATTTAAAAGAGGGTATTAAATAAGAAGGTATTAAAGGCAGTACAGTATGGTATTTTTTTTTTTTTTTTTTTTTTAAATTTGATGATCATGCCATCATCTCTGCTTTATTGATAACATGCAGCTCTCCGAAGAGAAACTAATTATATCATGCCGTAGACACATAACCTAGATAATGATTTACCCAGTTACTTTTAGGTATCTAAATACTACTAGCACTTATGTGCGACCTGCCAAAAATGATTTTAACCTCACTGGTTAGGTTCAAACTAACTGTAGTAAGATTCACTCTGGATCACTAGCCTGATTCATCAGCCCGTCATGACCACCTTCTTTTCCAACCTTCATCTTCTAGCCTTCTAGATAGAAGAATCCACCAAAGAACAACAAGAAGTTTAAAAAATAAAAGGAAACAAAAAAAAAAAAAGGGAGAGAAAACTAAACTAAATGAATACAAAATATGAATAAAATATAAAAAAAGAGAAAAAGAGAAGAAAGTCACAAAGAAGGCAATAATAATAGTACTATTTTTGCCTGTGCAAGGCTACATAAATTATATAGGTTGTATAGAAAAAAAATCCTACTCTAACACTATATATAATAAGAAGAATGAAAAAAAAAAAACACCTAATATCTAGAAGTTTCTATATGTGATCCTCTGATCCCTTATAGACTGTCATTGCCTAATCGAGAAGCAGTATCCGAGTTGGCTCGTAGCAGGTTCCATTTCGGTAGATGTGTCCTAATTTAGAAGCAGTAAATACTGCCAATCTTTTAGAGGGGATATGCCGGTTTTTCTACTTTTTGGCTGAAATTTCTAAAAAAAATTCCAAAGTAATGAGAATATGGTAAGAGGTTTTGGGTTGCAAATACTTTCAAATTTTCTAAAGAGTGTGTTGAAATCCAGAACTTTTGTTGTTTCCTCTGTGTTCTTCTTTGAAGTAACAGCCTTAGAGCTTCGTCGACGAAGTTGGGTTTTCCCACACTC